CCATACCAAACCTCTCTCTCCCCCCCTTATTTCCCCCCAACATTGCTATCATATCTAAAAACACGTGTACGAAAGTATACACACACACACACACACACACACACACACACGCGCGCGCGCGCACACACACACACACACACACACACACACATGATCGAAGAGTATACAAGTAATCGTAAAAGAATATTATTGAGCACTGAAAAATCACAGTGGAAAGAAAACGTATTCCGATAATCTGTGCAAACACATTACAAGTTGTGCAAACAGATTACAAGTTGTGCAAATATTCACTCTTGGAAATAACAAATAATATACCTCGATGAATTAAAGCTGCATGCTGTAGTCGACAAAAGCAAAGTTATTATAGGGAACAGCAATAGAAGGGATTTTGCGATGTCAGTTTTGCCGTTCTACAAAACTTATCATGAAGCAAGACGCGGCCATACTTTCAACTCTTTGTGTACGCCACGCCAGTTCAGCGGGCTCACGACATCCCCCAGTAGTTTACACTCATTGCAAACATCTATCAAATCTCAGCAAAATCATCTTATCTTTAATCAAACTGACGGACTGATCTTTCATTTCTTCTCAGATTGGTGATTGATTTGTGCAAATAGGTGAATTAATAAATGAGCTAAACGTTTTTAAAACGAACAGAGGAATCCGAACAAGCTATACCTCATTGATTAATTAAACTATGCCCACAAAACTTTGCACGGCACTTCTGCAGACCAGCGACCAAACAAAGATATTTTGTTTTAATCTTGATCCAGTAATGAAAATGTATAATGTATGTATTTGGGCACTATATTAAAAACCGCTATTCGGATGCGTATGCAGGATCACTAAAATAAACTATTAGCAGTAACCCAGCCTACAAATTGCTAATATTGAGACAGCGACACCACCCTGCCTCCACATTTCAATGTAAGCTTGTAGATTTCACCCCATTACTATAATATAGAAGTCTCTACGTGAGTCTCGAAAGGTACTCACCCATCTGTTGTTCCGTGTTTCTTAGGCGTAGGTTAAACTTTAGTGTTGAGGAGAACAGGCCAACTTATTACCTTGACCATCAATGATTTATTGATAGAGGCACCAGCCATCCATGTCCAGGTGCTGTTTTAGCCAACTTATTAATGTTCTAGGTGAATATTGTAAACCCCCTATTATTTTTTAACCCACTGATGGCTAACATTTTAAAAAATGTGTCGGATCCTTAAGTTAGAGGTGGCCTTCACAAAAGGGCTTTTAGATGATTATGTTGGTCATCCAACTTCAAGACCCGCATGCAAAGACCTGAAAAGCTGAAAAGGTTAAACAGAGCGATTTGTTCATGTCTTGTCTCAACCGGGGTCAGAAAAAAGTGAAGAGGGTATAGAGAAAAATATCGCCAGACTGCTTAGTAAAATGTTTAGTAGAGTAGTCACTCCATGGTCTTGAGTCTTTCAGTGCTGGAGCCACACTCGAGTAGACAGACAGTAAGACACTTGGGTCTAGTTAATCATTCTCATACGGGCTGCCACTTTGATTCTTGATTTTCTAGAGGGAGAGAGAGAGAAGGTGGGGGGGGGGGGGCAAAGGGTCCTCGTTATCGTCTTTGATCTCCACCATGGAGGAGCTAACATTTTGATGTTGATTCTTGGATCTCTGACAACCACGGAGGAGCAGAAAAAGGGATATATCGGAAAAATTGATACCTAATATCATAAATATATTTATATATATATTTTTATATATATATATATATATATATATATATATATATATATATATATATATATATATATATATATATACTAAAAGAGCCAAATTATGTTATGAATCCAAAGACTTGCAAACCGAAGGTTTGATAATGAAAATTTGCATAACTCCAAAACCCTAACTCTGACCACCGTAACTTCAACACTAAACCTAACCCTACCGCTAACCCTAACCTTAATCTTAACCCTAACCTTAACCTAAACCTGATAAACGAGAAGCAGATCAAATGAACCCTAACAGCAACCCTAGGAAGTGGTCCGGGTGAGAGTAACCTATGTCTCGCTATTCTCACCCCCTGCCTTGTTTTACCGGAAATGACCTAGGAGGGATCAGGGCTGAGGTTACCGGGGCTAAAGCTCCACAGGATCGTGTCGATGTCAGAATAGAGATACATTTAGATGTAGTCACAGACAGGGTTCTCAATTTGCAGCCAAATCCAAGAAATTTGGCTCTTTTGGATAGCGTCTGGCCGGGACAATTTCATTTGGCTCTCTAGCTCTTTTTTTGGCTCCAAACTCCAAATGTTGAAGAAGAAGAGGCAAGGAAAAAAAAGAAAAAGAAAAAGAAAAAGAAAGAACCAAAGAGCTACCTGTTCCTTGAACCATATTGTATTGTGAGCAGAGAGGCCAGCCATCGTTTAGTGTCCGATTAAGGACCACATTTCATGTTTTAAAAATATTTAGTTTAGAAGGTGATTTAAAAGTCAGCAAATCATAAAATAAATTTAGGTGTGACTGCGACTTGTACTAACTAGCCAGTAAACTACCTGCAAGTTCACTGAAGAGGAAGAAAAGCAAGGGTCCCTAAGAGAATACTGTGGAAAAATCCAGATATATATATATATATATATATATATATATAGATAGATAGATAGATAGATAGATAGATAGATAGATAGATAGATATATATATATATATATATATATATATTGCCTTGATCTGCCTCTTCCTCTGTTTTCGCCGCATCTGTAGGGCGCACCGATTATTCAGTTAAAATCACTCTGGAATTTGGTGCGGATGGCCCCGTTTCGAATCCCAAAGGGTTTTTTATGGGCTTAGGTTGTTAGGGGAGTTTTAAGGTTCTACACTAACTTAGCGGGCGAATTCTTGTGGAGATAAATTTGTACCGTAGCTCGCAGCTCCTGCAAGTAAAAATCACCCGACGGTGTTTACACAGGGGAGTTAAACCACAAAATCTTCTGTTTGCCTCTACTACATAGCTTATTCTGTGTTATGTCCCCTTTTCATTATTGATAACTTTTAACAATTCTGCAATATTGCCCTAAAGAATGTCTCTTTCTCTCTCTCTCTCTCTCTCTCTCTCTCTCTCTCTCTCTCTCTCTGTCTATCTATCTATCCATCTATCTGTTTCTCCCACTACCTGTCTCAGTCAGTTTATCACACTGAACGAGATCTCAACCACAGCAAGTCTACAATCACACTGAACGAGATCCCAACCACAACAAGTCTACAATCTCACTGAACGAGATCCCAACCACTACAAGCACTGACTTTTTAAGAATACGATGACCCAGTTTTCTGGAGTATCAAATAGTTTATAACTTTAATTAAAAAATCTTTCAATTTTTCGATAACTGCTTTCTCTCTTTAAATTAATATCTATTGCATTCGTCTTTTGACTTGATTTACCACAGACGCTTCGTCACACAGAAAGTGGGATTTCGACGAACTGTCTGATAGATTCATTGGGCCATGATGTCATAAAGTGGACTGCATTTCAATCAAATCAAATGATCAGAATAAGAATATACCTACAAGGACGGAACAAGCACAGTACCACACTACCATGTGTTGTTAAAACAAGACGTTAAGGCGAAATGGAACAAAACAACAGCCCCCCCCCCCCTGGAAAAAAACTACGGCGTAGGCTGCTTGCAAAAAAAGATACATTTTTGTCTTTCATAAACTAAAGCAAGAAAAATAAGTCTCCCGCCGATCATTTTTTGTTCGTTTTGATGTGCTGATTTTGATATTATTTTCACGATAAGATGTCTCTCTTTCCGAAAAGTTTGTAAGGGAGCATTTCAATGAGGCCGACAGGGTATAAGAATACAACCAACAAAAGAATCATTTTTAAAGAATTAAAAGATTACTTTTCAGGAAGGACAGACGGGCGGAAAGAAATACTGACCGACAAGTCCTGCCCATTTTCTTATTACACAGTCAGATGGACGGAAGCTCCAAAATCGTTCGCCTCAACTGTGCGTGACCTCCTATTTTCCTCCTCCTTCTCCTTCTCTTCCCAAAAGTAGCCCAATTGAATTGTTCACTTCTTGTTCGTAAGTTTTGCACTATTTTATAGTCCAATTCCACTGTAAGTGTAATACCTCCTTTTCATCTCCTATTTTACTCCTCCTCTTCTTCCTACTCGTCCTTCTGTTCGTCGTACTTCTCCTCCTCCTCATTCTCCTCCTCCTCCGTCTCCTCCTCCTACTTCCCCATTCTCCTCCACATTCAACTCCTCCTCCCCCTCTTCCTCCTCTTCCTCACGTTCATTTTCCGTCTCCTCCTCCTCCTCCTTCTCCTCCTCCCCACTAACAATATCATGTCCCCCCTGTCATCCCATACCCTGTACTGACCTCCATATTCACATAACCCTCCGGTCCTGTAGAACCCTCGTGGGTTGACAGATACGAAGCATCCACTTCATCAGCTGAAAAGACAAAAGCTCAGGTCATGTGATCATTGTGGTTTCTGTCAGCCCGTATTGTTCATTCCCCGGCACTAAATGGCCGTTATTGTGTTGGTGTGCTTCGTTTTACTCAAACAAACCAGCTGTCCCTACAAATCTCAGTTATTTTACAGTGAAAAAGTTAGTATTTTCTTGGGGGTGCGTGGAGGGGGACGGTGCATATCCTTAGTAAGCGTGGCGATAAATAAATTCAATCTAAACCACACAAAAATAAAACATTAAACAAGAAAACAAGGTCAACAGAAATTATAATTACGACTTAACAAAAGATACCTAAATTTTAAATATTGACGAAAAACGTAGAAAAATGAATGGTTGATTCTATGAACGTAAAAGATCTGTGCACCTTTATGAATTGCTAGTACATGTAGCTGATATTGATATAAACAGAAAATGTCATGAATATTCACAGATATAGAACATGTAGTAAATTTACGAGAAACACTCTTCGTCCACCAATAAGGTTATAGATAGATATATAGATAGATGGATACCTAGATAGATAGATAGATAGATAGATAGATAGATAGATAGATAGATAGATAGATAGATAGATAGATAGATAGATAGATAGATAGATAGATAGACTGATTGACAGTCACAACTACGCTAAAGATGTCTGTTCGGGGGTGTAGGTCCCATATTAATTCTAGCAATACATTTCTGCACATATCTACTCGAACTTATTGCACTCACCAGGGGAATATTCGTTATCAGGTTTCATGCTCGTGTAAGGATCTGAAACGAAAAGGAGAAGCCATCTAATTCGTCTCTCTCTCTCTCTCTCTCTCTCTCTCTCTCTCTCTCTCTCTCTCTCTCT